ACACACACACACACACACACATATATATATATATATATATATATATATATATATATATATATATATATATATATATACATATTGACGCATCTGTGTGCGTGTGTCTGTGTATCAGCATGGTACCCCTACCTCTTCAACAAACCCATACAATGCTACATATAGCCTAACGGTGTGACAACCAAACACTGAGTCATTCCCAAACTACTCCTGTAGTGAGGCTGTCCGCTTGAGAAACACAACCCTACCTTTTTCTCAGCCGGGATATCATCTGCTGAGACATAATGGCTGACACATACCCCAACATTCATTTCTTAGCATGGATGAGATAACACCTGACACATGAAGTGCTCAAGCACCTCTCTACTTCTAATTGTCCTGTTTATGTAACATCCCTGTCAACACTCAGTATCACTCTACACGTCCGTCCCATTGTTCAAATAGGATTTAAAACGTTGAATGGAAATGTATAAAACTTCATGCATCTTGTCTTTGCATGTGCAAAGTTGCTTCTGTATTCATTGCCTTATGACCACAGCACACAGCAAATGTCATACCACCTTATATACCCTTTCAATATATACCAGACAATGAGTTTGTCTCAATGTTTAATACCCCTGTATATTCATGAGAACAGCACAGCAAGACTGTCTACTGTAATACTAAAGACCTTATCATAACAAAAACACACGCAACAAGCTGATATAAAATGTTCCTGCATATTTAAAGGAAAGGCATGGATATAGTATACCACCTTGCCGCAGACCACTGTGTACCGTGTTGGCCCCGTCGTTTAACGACGGATTTCCACGTAAAGACGTGCGTAACCTACAAGTGTCGAGACCAGTGAACGTGGCCTGCAAGCCACGATTTGCCCTGATAATGTTTTCGTCCTCTTGGGTTTCGCCAAAGTGGTAAAAGACCTGCAGCTCTTCTTTCCTCCACATCTTGCTGACACGCCATGATATTGCTGAAACACTGTTAAACAAAACTCACTCACACCTTTGTGGAGTGCAGTGTATGGCGTTCATAAGTATGTATATTTAAGGTCCTTGACCTCTTGCTCCCAACACTATGGCGGAACCGGTATAATCCTACACGCCGTCGTCTAGTATTTGGTCTACGTGATGGTATAAAGGGAGACATATAGTGGGTTGTTAAGTGAGCTATTCTCGCTATTTCAATACACCTCTTGCTAATGCACTATTTCTTTTAGTGACTTTCATTCACTCAGTATTTAACTCGACTTTCATATTCATATTAATAACTTACTCAAATATTTACCAAGGAAGCGTAACTGCTTATTATCCCAATTTGTAAAGTCAAAGTATTTTCTGAAATGATTTATGACGGTCTTTATGTCTTATAATATTCAACGCTTCTATAATCTGTACTGATCATAAAATAGTTTGTTGATCTACTCAAATCTAACTAACAACGTAATTTTATGTTTGTGTAATGGGTGGTGGAGAGGTTTAAAGCCATACACTTGTTGTGATCAAACTTAGGGTTCAATGAACAGTTCCTGAGTTGTGCAATATATAATTTTTTAATGATGTGTTCATTCTTTTCATAAACAACATTGACAGTAATGAATCGTTTCTGCGGGTTATAAAATTTCAATTTTAAAAATTATCCTTATGTTTGAAAAAGAAATCCGTATTTTCAAAAGCCTTTGGACATAAATTAATTGTCATCCTATTTCTTAGAGCTACCACTGCGCTCAGGCTGTGAAATATACACCACCTCGATCCATCATTCTGGAATGTCAGCTGCTATAAAATCACAGCTGGGTGTATTTTGATTACAAAATGGCTGTTAAAGTCACTGGGGCATATCCAAATTTCTTGTTTAATTTTCTGTTACCAAGAGGGTTATTTTACAATATTTTCCCAAGTCAAACAACGAATATATTTCAGTACTCTGCTAACAACAACTGTCATATGGTACCTTTTCCTTTAGCACTGTCTGTCATATATGTGTCAGTTTTATCTATGTACATATTTGTAGATATTATTAAAAAAACATTCTATGTTTGACGTTATCGCATTTATCTTATATGAAATAATATGCAAAGTGTTTTGTTACTTATTTATGTATGTAAAGCATAGGGCCTACCAAAAATCTGTGTATCTAGTATCAAATGTTAAAACCCCCATTAATATCCACCATAACAGTAAATCATCGTCTGTAACAGTAAATCATCACAGCTCGGTATGACCTACTTTAGTATACCAGATTTACCACCTCAAGTTTGCTGTATCTGTGTATGAATCTCATACTCTACCTAGAGCCTGTTCACATATGATATTGACAATGTCCAGTCACTTGGCCGCCACTGACACACCCTACAGGATATATGAGCCCATTCATTTCCCATACACCAGGAGGTCAAGTCGTCATGTTGGTCTTGGTAGTTTCGTGTAGTGTTGACGGTCATAAAGGTTATATTTGATGTAAAACTGCAATGCTTTGTCACCTGGTAGTGTGTATTCGGTTGGCTCAGTTCGTGAATAGTTATAATTGATCAGTCTGTGTGTAACTGACGCCCTGGCTATCTCCATCTGACGGTAATCATTTTATCTGTACCCCACTTAAAGAGGTCGCTGTATTATACTCTGTTTCAACGTCAGATCTTATCTTATAGCCCTAAGTATCTGCTTGTATTGGCTCTTTAAACATCTGATTGTTAGGACACAACGCGTAACAGATCCTCCCCGCCTACATCACTATCCCTCCCGCCCAGCGTGGCCACACCCTTCCTTTCCATTGACCACCAACACCAGATGTAACCTCATTTATTTCCTTTCCTTTGACCACCAACGAACCAGATGTAACCTCATTTATTTCTTTGGTGTGACAGAACACTTCTTCTCATTGTGGGTCATGTGTGTATTCTAATAAGAGCCCCAAATGTCCTAGTCGTTTAACGCCTCAAAATTCACAATGTAGAGTTGCGTCCCTTGGGCGTGACAGAACACTATGATCATAGGAGGTATGCCAGAATACTGTGGTCTTGAGTTCAAACACAAGATTGTGATTTTGAGCTTAGTAGAATAAGCCGGTACTCGCAGTTTTACCCGAGTTGAAAGCGCCATCTGCATCAGAGATCTCTTTCTACATCACGCTGACGCGCTGTGATATCATTACAATACTGCTCAGTCATGTTTAGTGTTAATTACCTACACGTGTGTAAAATGAAACATTAACTCCTTGTACCTATCGTATTTCGGCCACGTGTATGTTCGTATAATCACTGTTTAGCGATACCCACATCGCCTGGTTATTGTAAAATTGTCTACGATGCCACAGTTTGCGTTCCTTAGAAGCACCAGGATCTGGTCTTCGCCGGTTCGAATCCCAATTCTACACGATTATGACCCTCGGTTGGTCAGTACCACATCCGTGCTCATGGGTCACACCAAAATGGTCACGTCAACGTTCTACGTCACATACAATCAACTTTAATCATTCGCTGTCGAAAATCAAACTCACTTACTACGAAATGTATGTCCAGATAGTAAGACACACAACAGGCAATATTTTCTTCTGTGGCTAAGGTCACATTGGTTATGGGGCGGTGGGGTAGCCTAGTGGTTAAAGCGTTGGCTCATCACGCCGAAGACCCGGGTTCGAATCCTCACATTGGTACAATGTGTGAAGCCCATTTCTGGTGTCCCCCGCCATGATGTTGCTGGAAATTGCTAAAAGCGGCGTAAAACCAAACTCTATCTGTCACACTGGTTATGCTTGAAGAGGTAAAGTTTGATTATATTCTGATTTACGTGAATGACAACCAATGGATATTACACAATGGACAAACGGTTTGACCATCCCAACAGTTATATTCACATTCCACATCACACAAAGAATGACGCTTTACTGATTACACCAAATATTGAATTGAATTTCGCTTGGAATACCCGTTTTATACCAATAATAACACACGGTTGTTGAAGATGTGAGATACATGAAAATAAATCCACGTCCCGTGGACCATAAAACTATAGCTGTCGCGAGGTTGTATATGTACTACCCTAGACGATATGCATGTGTGTTCCTGGAGCTGTTTGATATAGGATCACCCTACGACCTTCCCCTTTGTGGTAACGTTGGTGTCGTATGACGTCGTACAATACGAACCCCACGCACCAGGGCACGAGTGCCATGACGCCCATTCTACAACCCGACTATCCAAACGTAGTTTGAAACAGTACCTGTGTAACCGAGGTAGACCAGAACGTGCAGTTTATGACAGGACTGACAAGCCGAAAAGAGCAAACCACGCTGCCGTTGTCAACGATACAATATACGGCTTATCTACGTTAATACATATATACTGTGGGATATAAAGTTTATCTGTGTTGTTTTGTGCAGTGAAGTAAAACGCGGATGGTATTTATCCTACACAGATTAGGTTTTGCGATTTTTCTACGTAAGATATTCTGCCCATCTGTTCACAGATATTTTATTCTGTAGCAAAACAAAGGTTTTAAGTCTTACATTTGACTTGTATGTGAAATATGTTTTATGAATTCCTTAAACGCTATATTTTCCGAAGATATGCATTCTTATCATTTCCTTTCAAAACGAAAATGCACCAAACTTTCAACATGAACAAAATATACTACAAGTGCTTATAGCCCGTCGGTTCTTTAGATATATATTACTTACTGTACATGTGTACGTCCAGTTGAGAGCATGATTATGTTTTGTGTCAGAATCGTTTACCCAGTGACAGTCCCGCCTGTAAGCATGACTAAAATTGTCCGCTGATACAAATTAAGGACCAATGATGTGCAAGAAAATTGTAAATAAATAAATATAACGTGTGAAACTGTTCCCTACTTTACCAGGACACAAAGACGAAAAGATGTCATTACTTCCAGTATATTGTACGCGGCCATTGCATGTCATGACAATATCATTGCCATAGCGTTACATTATTGTCATATCATTTTATTACTGCATACATAATTGTACATCATTCCCCTTTGTTGCAGACACGACTCCGTGAATCTCATTTTGTCAAGAATTACATCGCCATCCAACAAGAACTTGATGACCTCAGAGGCCAAACAGATGACGTCAAGGAAATTCGAGAAAAGCTAAATGAAGTGAAGAAATCTCGGGTAAGGCGATTTATACTTCTTAATACTCTAACATAAAAAATAAAACGAGAAAGTATAATCACGGTGGTGAATTATGGACTAGCTCAAACCTCTTAGGGGCGATAGGGTAACCTTGTGGTAAAAGCGTTCACGCAACTTTACACACTTACCGCATTTCCTCTGTAGGATTCACGCCACTTTACACACTTACCGTATTTCCTCCGTAGGAGGGGCGGTGGGGTAGTCTAGTGGTTAAAGCGTTGGCTCGTCACGCCGAAGACCCGGGTTCGATTCCCCACAGGGATACAATATGTGAAGCCCATTTATGCTGTCCCCCGACTTGATATTGCTGGAATATTGCTAAAAGCGGCGTCACTCAGTCACTCAAAACGTAACATGGCTGATGTATATAATTGTTTCCAATGACTGGGTGTCGATATTCAAACTATCGAACATTGGTCATTGGTTTGCCTTATTAAAACCTTGATCGTTGGTGATTTTGTATCATTCTATCAATCTTGCCTTGTTCAGACTCAATCCTTTTGTCCGTTGTTGATTAAATGCATAAACACCTTTCACTCACTCATTCACTTCTTAATTCACAGGGTCATACACGAGACTTTGAGACTGCCGACAATGAATATTTACTATTAGAGGTAAGTATCCTTGGCAGATATACTCGATGTCACAGCACGCTAATCATCTGGCGCTCATTGTCTGTGCCAAGGTGCCATAAATACTTCATCTGCCCTGTATGATTGTCGTAAAATGTCATAAAAATTATTCTATTATTTCAGGATGCTGCACACCAAAGGAAACGTTGCCTGGAAACACTTTTATACGTCAGTGAGGTAGAGAACCTATTTCAGGTAAACACGTATTTATTTTACAGTGAATCATTTAGATAGCCATAATAAAATCTTCCTCATTTTAACCCTTAAGGCAAGGACACGTGTACTATAATTGTTCACTAGTGGCTCATAAGGTCTGTTTCGATTTCCAAATGAAGCAATCTTTTGCTCTTAATAAATTCCTAAATGTAGCTTCTTAGAGCGATGGCACACCATAACAGGAGTCAATAATGTCGTTCCTTTATGTTCACAAGGAGGATTTATTCTTAAGGTTCATCGCCATTACAAACATGCAAACATGTCTTATATGTTTGTAATGCAAGTGTCTGTTTGCTCACGAAACACCTCGTTAAAGGCATGCCTACAATAAATTGATCATTTCAAAAGTTTCTATTTATCCGAGATAATCCCATTAAGTGTCATATGTGCATTGATATCACTATATGTGTTCCGGGATACACGTTGATGCAAAGCAGACAGTGGACAAATCATGATAGTAAATATGCGACAGTTTCTGTGTAATGACAAAATGTATCCAGCCGGTTTCTTTGTCATAGGACCGCCTCCGTGGTGTAGTGGTTAGAGCGTCCGCCCGGAGAGCGGAAGGTCGCGGGTTCGATCCCCGACCGCGTCATACCAATAGACGTTAAAACATGGTACTTGTTGGTCCCTGTCTGGCGCTCAGCATTAATGGGTACAACAAGGACTGGTCGGCTCGGAGTCAGTATAATGTGTGTGAGTGGGTATTCTTGCTTCACTGCGGCATGGTATCTCAGTGGGCTAGCACTATAAAACCAGCTTCAGTCTGGTCTAGTACAAGCAGCCGCACATACACATACACACGCATGCACGTCGTCATATGAGCGAAATATTCTCAAGCACGACGTTAAACCCAATTTCACCTCACCTCACCTCTTTGTCATAGGCTCCAGGCTTTAAAAGTAGGCTTTATGTGAATTCAGATTTGGAACACTCCTCACAATCATTTTAAGAGACGAAAGACTTTATAGAAGTGTATACATTTAAATACAACGTTTCGTAAACGTACTTTCGCTCTCTAACCCAAGGGAGTGACAATTTGTGCACAGCTTTTGGAAAGATTCGCAGAAGATTTTGTATTGAAGTTTACGCATACATTTTATGGTTAACGTGTTTAACAATTCAGAGTAAATATATTCATCAGAATAAATGTAACAACAATATGATAGACATACCTTTTATACTTTATGCCACTGTATGTGGTATATTTGCCGTGGGTTTCATTTCGTCATGGGGACCTAGATCCGCTATCTCACGTCACCTTTCATGGCGAGGAGATTATAGAAGTAACATTAAATAGTGTTCTTTTCTTAGCGTGAGCGATTCTCCCTGACGTCGCTGTATGTATTGACAGTTCCGTCAATGACTGACTGCTAAATCCATCATTTTGAACTATGTGTGTACTGACAGTTGTAACCATCCTTTCTGAATTTGACGCTTTCACGTCGCCGTGGAGCAAACACAAATCGGAAAGAGGCATCGGATTTAATTTATAGTCATTGAGCACAATACGATTTCGTCCACTATACGCCGGTATTACTGATATTAAATAGACTTATCATATGTATAGTCCTTGAGAAGATTTACAAAAGTACAGGGCTGACTCACTTGCAGAATTTCTGTCGGTTGAGACAGGTAGATATAAAGACCGTGTTAACTGGAGAACTACATATTCACCACTCTGGACAGTGTGCATTCATTCACTCGCTGTAGCGTGTAGTGCATTTACGCTATCTGTGTCAGATTCTTTCATTGGCTCGATCCATGCAGTATGCATTCACTATCTATGCCAGAGTCCTTCACTCGCTGTCTTGTCAGTGTTCATGCGGACCTTGAAAGATTCCTCCATTCGCTTGATCCATGAAAGTTTAATTCACTATCAATGCAAGATTCAAACATTCGCTATATCTAATGTTACTTAGGGCAATAAGGCCTGTAAGTCTCACGAGGTGCTACTTCCAGTACTAAGCTTACTTATGGTTACGATTCGGTGAACCCGATTCAAGTGACAAGCGTCTATATAAGAACCGCCAAATATGACTAGACGGGTCAAGTGTACAACTATGATGTCACAACTGTTGACAGTCGTAATAGTTGGCTAATTTAGGGATATGTTATTCCTGCAAAGGTGATTGGTTCCTTACTGTCAACTGACAACCACGAGACCATTCGAAAAGGTATGAAACGTTATTTGTCACCGGATATACTAAGGTCTCGCGAAGTGCCGTAACCTACTTATGGGCCCTATTATATACGCTGGAACAAGACATGGGGTCCACTGACTCCGTGAGAGATCGTGCAGCGAAGGGTCAGCTTTGTCAATCTGATCGCTGCCATTAAGTCATAACCTATGCAGGATAAAAACAAACAGAGTTGAAAGGCTAGGATGCTTATGTTGAGAATGTAATGAAATTCCTTTAAGGTAGAAATAAAGGCTTCATATATCATCACCATCATCATCCATACGTTCAATGAGGAGATGTGATAACTGTTTTCCTAATAACAAATCTTGACCACCGTGTATTTACATATGTGAGATTCCCACATGTGAGAAAATATATCACCAATAATACGCTCAGTGCATACTTTTGTCAGAACAGACACACAGTAGATACTAAGAATGTAGAGATTTGAGACGCTAGACTGACCAGTTCTATAGACTGACAGACCAGATACTGACCCATCCATCAGACCATACACTGACCGATCCGTCAGGTGTAGGTTTCTACAATGTATTGTACAACCCTAAAACACCACTCCACTTCACGACACGGCGCTTAGCGAAACCTGCACGGCTGAGTGGCAGTGCATGAAGCTTCAACAGACGCCGGTAATTCCTGTGTTACAATGACGGGTGCTGTGTGGATGACGTCCATTGACGGCCGCTGATCCATCCATAATCTGCTGTTGTCGTTCTTTACAACATCGTGAACATTTTCTAACACGATCATACGCGATACGTCACTGTTAAAGTACTCACAACCCGAGAAATCAAAGTAGAGAGACGAAGGAATGTCTAGAATGCAAGTTAACAAACACGACCATTTGAATTTTTTGCAGTGTATCCGACATACTTGTTATCTAATTCATGTGTATTTTACCAGAATGTCCAGGCTGATTTCGAGGACCGAGCTCTGTATCTCAGTAACCGTCGGAAGGTGTTTGAGAGCGTGTACAGAGGAGAAGACATTGCGGAGGCGTCACGTATGCACAGAGTAAGGTTCAGTACAGAGCACATCAAATGCAAAATAGATGATAATACAATGGATATAATATCCGGGTCGATTCCCAATTTGGGGCCAATGTGTGAAGCTTGGGTCCCAAGTTTTGGTAGTATTGTTGATGAATGGTGCTTAAACACTGGGAAATTGTACCCTCTACACTTTTACCTCAATGTAAGATGCGGTTGGGACTCCCAGTGGCGGGGTTTATTCTCTACATGGGTACAGTGTATGAAATCCGTTTCTCATGTCCTCAATAGTGGAACGTTGTTAGAGCAGCGTAATACCATATTCACTTATGCAGAAAATGCCAGTTCTTTATGGATCACCATATTTCTCAGACTAGTCGCGACCAACTCAGTATATGCATGCCATGTTGTTCCATCAAACATCAATAACATGTATGTTTATTGCAGGACTGCGTGTATGCCCTCCGTCAAGGCTGGGCGTGGCTCTCCAACCTGACACAATGCATGGAGGTGCACCTCAAGAACGCAGGAGAGTTCCACCAGGTAGGGGCAACAACTCTGGATGAAACTGCTAAAAGTCCACGCAAATATACTGAAACTGTCAAATTAAATTCAAAGCTTATTTTAGGGTTATTTCTTTCTGTCTTCTTTTCGAAACAATTTGGGTCTTAGTACAACACAACTGTGTCCTATATTTACTCAGTTCCATCACGATGTGAAGCACCTGGATGAAGACATGCACACATTCCTGCAGTGGCTGAATACAGAGGTGTTCCGGAAGCAGGTGCAGACACGTGACCCAGAACTAATGGCGAGCCACTTCCGGGTAAGATATGCAAGGCTTGCAATGATACTTACAACATAAATTACAGGTGACATAGACAAAATTGGACACAGTCCTCAAATTCGCGTGTTTGCTTTGCATGCATTGTGTTTGTGACTGTTCCAAAAATATGGCAGGATACGCTTACCTTTTTGCGAACAACGCGTATCATCAGACATCACTACGTCATACTAATGCCAATTACATCATGCTTATGAGGTATTCGGAATCGTATGTTGACTTTTATATCAGATTAATGAATATGGGAGAAAATGTTGCTTTGTACCGGCCACTTCTAGTTTAGGACGTTATTAATATGTTGCATGCATGGCATTCAGCAAACGTACCGGAAATAGAAACGAAAACATATATCTGGTTTGTCAGTAAACATTACTTATTACCGTATTTTCTCTGGAAGCTTCACACCTCTTTATACAATTACCGTATTTCCTCCAGGTGATTATAAACCAGCTGCTGGACTACCAAGGCCGTGTGGAGCGCCTGTGTGAGAGGAGCAAGTCTGTGTTCCCCATCTACTTCCGTAAAGAACTGCCCCCCTACCCCCTGAAAGCCACGTCCCTAGTCACCTACACACATCAACAGGTATGTATCTTGATGGACCAGAAGAAGAGGTTTGTTCCGTATAAGTAAATTACATGACAAACAATAAGTCGTACAACGTGGTGGTGGTTTGAAAGCTGCACAAATGAAGGATATACTATCATAATAATGACGAACGTATAGACAAAGCTTCTTTGACACATTTGTGAACGTTAACTTAACGTCTTTGAATCACCAAAATAGGACATTAAAACATATTAAATGAAATTCATCTTTGGTAATATTACTATGACAAAATGTACACATTATATGCAAATTATAAGTCTAATAAATACCTTGACAGACGCTCACAAAAGACCCTGTTATTACAGATTTAGACATTCCGGTTTTCTGTCCCGTTTTAGATTAGCTTGATACCGTAATGATATGCTTTTTCAGATTTCGCTGGAGAAGGATGAGGCTATTACAGTGATTGACAACTCCGATCCAGAAAGATGGCAGGTACGCGGTCGATGATGATGATGATGATGATGATGATGAACTATCTGATAATTTCTTGGATGTATCCTTTCCCTTTAAAGGTTACTCCCTTTGTGTAGTAAGGTGATTTGTACATACTAGACCTTTTGTCGTAGGTGAAGACGTCCGCCGGCCACGAGGTCGAGGTCCCCGCCATCATCCTTGTCATCCCGCCTCCAGACCCTAAGTCCTTCATTGAAGCTCAGAGGTCAGTGCCTAACATTACGTTTCCGGTGCATATGTCGATGATCTGCTTGAAGAATATCCAAGTTATCTCCCTTGCCCTTTCACCCGAACATGCACAAGTTGCTTGAAGCTCCACTTCGTCTCTCAAGTCGTGCCAGTGTCGCCTGGTCTAGGTTTCGAATCCATTGTTTATCTCGAGTATCGTCCCATTTTTACTAAAGGGTAACTTGAAGCATGTCAGAGTTACCTCCCTTAGTCTTTCGTTTGCGACTATGGTGAATGGAGTATTAAACTGTTACAAAGTAAACTCTGCCATATTAACAGTGAGTGAGTGAGTTTAGTTTTACGCCGCACTCAGCAATATTCCAGCGGTCTGTAAATAATCGAATCTGGACCAGACAATCCAGTAATCATCAGCATCGATCTACGCAACTGGGAACAGATGACATGTGTCAACCAAGTCAGCGAGCCTGACCACCCGATCCCGTTAGTAGCCTCTTACGACAAACATGGGTTACTGAAGATCAATATTCTAACCCGGACCTTCACGGGACCCATATTAACAGAATTTAATATATATAATGACGGAAACAATGCCAGCAACTTTGGAAAATATGATTATCTTTATCATGGTAGATATATAATAATCTTACTGACAATAGGAAGGGAAATAAAGACAGATATTTGTATTGTTTCACAGACTTCGAAGTCAGCTGCACGTGCACTGGGATACAGCTGTGCAAACGCTCAGACGTCAGCTCGTGCAGTTTATGACAGCTGTTGCCAAGGAAACACAGTCGCGAGAGGTATGTATAACTCCAGCAAAATTCATGTATCCTTAAAACAAACATAATTCTTCAAATTTATTAATAAATGTATTCAGAAGTGGAAAAAGCTTTCAAGCGAAACTTCAGTCACTTGCAATATTTCTTATTTTAACAGTTCCAGAGTCTCTCATCCAATCAGAAGTCAGCTTACATGAAGTTGCTAAATGAAGCAACACAATTGCTGCGACCTGCAACCAATGAAGATCAGGATTACATCGCTTTCCGAAACCAGATGACAAATATCCGAAAGGTCATCAGCGGTGTTAAGCCAGGTACGCCGCAGCCATTATTGGCTTCAATTCTGAATCATAATTCATAATCTCTTCTTAATTTGGAAACTGACCTCCGTTGTGAAGTGGATAGTTTGTCAGTCCAGCCAGGTCATTCCGAAAGACGTAAAAAGATGGTATTTGTTGTTGCCCAGGCTGGTGCCAAGCAATAAGTGGATAGAAGTGGGATGTGAGATTAGAGTCAGGTACCCATGTTATACTGTGGCATGGTATCTCAGTGGTCTGTTACTCTAACACCGACATGTATGCCGGAACTTCTACAGTCCCACACACGTGCACGCACATTGATGTGGGAGTGCAATAATATTGACCACGACTCGGACATTACACCTAATGTCATTGCAAACAACCCTGTATTGACTCACGTGCTGAGTCAGCCCCTCTGGGAATGCTCCCCGGCCTTATGTCCAGCCTTTCGTCTCAAAGATCGTACTTCTCCTTGATGGGGAGGAGAACTCGCTCGCTTACTCGTGAAGATCTGTATTGAATTTGTCTTCTTGTGGTAAGAGGCGACTAACGGGATCGGATGATGAGGCTCCCTGACATGGTTGACCAATGTCATCGTACCCCAATTGCGTAGATCGATGCTCATGTTGTTGATCACACGGTTGTCTGGTCTGTTTTTTTACGGACCGCAACATCTGGAATATTGCTGTGTGGGACGTTAAACAAAAAGACCGTACACTCTCTCACTCACTCACACATATGTGTATGTCGTTATATAAATAGCCACGTTTCACTTTTATATCACACCATCTATACTTTTAATATGTTTTCTTTTAAACAATAATGTAATTTGATCATTTGTTTCAGGCCTAAAAGACCTGAAGAATGGAACGGTTAATAAATGGAACGCCACAAACAAGACGTTTCGAATTTATACGGTAAGTTTTCTGCAACCATATTATGTAGTTTGTGACACTACGGCTGAAATATTGATGATGTGCTCCCACATACCGATATGCCAATATTCATCCTTATATACACTGAAGTATGTCTACAATATGCAAAGCAATTTATTTATTTTATTTATTTTTTTTTTTTTTGGGGGTAGGGGTGGGGAGTTCAAGTAAATTAGTCTATTAATATACCTTTTGATAAATTGGACTACGTTTTGATAAATTGGACAATGCCCGTGTTAAACATTCTGACAAACGTGGAATGTGAATTCACTGAAAGAATCATATGTAAATATTGTAAATCAGTTATAGTGCATTTGGTATCAGATTTATGAAATTAATAAAAACACTAAGTAACGGCACATGAGTCCCACATGAGCGCAATCCAACACGAGTTGTCTCCCTTGCAGGAGCTGCTCACCTACACGAGGACGTTCAAGAGAGACGTGTGGTCTCGTCGGGAGGAAGAACACCTCGTGGTCAGAGACCTGGAGAACCCACCAACCTTCACCTCCAAGGCCTACTTTGAAAGGTAAGTTAATACCGAATAACAGATCTACATGTGAACAATTATTTGATCTTACTAACGATCACATGTCAATATAATGCACACATTTTAATGTTGTCAAAGACGTTTACCTCATAAAGCAGGAATATAAAATTTTACCTCATGAAGTTTGGTTCTCAATACACAGTATCAACGTCAGAGTCCTAATTATCTTCTGAAAACTGGTGCGAAAATGGATAATTATAAATTATATGACACGTTATTAATTGGGAAGTATTATTTTTGATATCACGTTGTAATTTTCTAATGTGTACAGGTAGTTTATTAGAAAAACAGTAAGATAGCATTCTGATTCGATGTCATTTACCAGACCTTTTTTTATTCCTGTTGCAGAGCACTGCCCGTGATTGATATTGACAATGTTACAAAGCAGAGCAGACTGACCACTGTCCGATCTGAGATCTACATCCACGAGCGACACAGGTCCAAGAAGCCAGTGGCGCCACCTAGGAAAAGACGCGGTGTGAAGGAACAGAAATCAAACAAACCACAAGACGAGGAGTTCTCAGAAACTACGGAGTACTTCGAGGAGAGGAAGACATTTGTGATCACTGGAGTGATAGATCCTCGCAACAAGCAGACGTTGAGTGTCTTCCAGGCTCTGTCTAAAGGCGTCCTGAATCAGCAACAAGGGACATACAATAATCCGGACACTGACTATTCTATATCCATTCCAGAAGCCATCCATCTTGGCTACATCCTTGTAGAATACAGGGATCATTTCGTTAACGGAGATATTGCCGAGAATGGATTTTCAGGTCTGCAGAATTCTATTGACACGAAAACATTTGACATATCTGGTGTGATAGATCCTCGGACTGGGGAATGGATCAGTGTTAAGGAAGCTATTGCTGCAGGAATTCTTGACCCAAGGACGGGCAAGTTTAAAAATCCAGTTACAGGGGAGGAGCTGACTATTCTAGATGCCATCAAGGCAGGGTATCTGATGGCAGACCCAGACCTCTTCGCAGAAGGAGCCCAGGAGTATAGTGCGTTCATGTCTGTGGAACTGGCAGATGTTTCCTATAAGATTTCAGGAATCATTGACCCAGCTACAGGAGAGGAAATCTCACTCAAGCGTGCAATACAGGATGGTGTCATAGACATTGCTAACGGAGTGTACCGGAATCCTTTAACGGGGGAAGTTATGTCCATATCTGATGCTATCAAACGAGGCTTCATTAAGGGAAGACCTTTTGATCCTTCTCGAGACAAGGACGATGGTGATGTTCTGAAATACCAACAACTTCAGGTAAAGAGACAGAAGTTCCAAGCTGCAGATCTTGACAATGTAGACGGAATGGACCTTGCCAATGCTAAAATAGACCCTAACGAACTTCTTTACAGCAAGATCAGAGACAAGATCGATACCAGTGCTAAAGGTATCAGAGATCCCAAAACCAAAAAAGCTCTATCAATAGATGAAGCATATGAAATGGGAATTCTCAATTTTGCTACAGCAGAATATGACACTCTTGACGGTGAAATCATGCCATTACAGGAAGCGACTGCTAGAGGCCTCATTGAACCCTCGGTGCTAAAAGAAATCTTGAAGACATACCAAGAGGCCAGTGTGGGAGAGTTGATAGACGGAGGTAAATTTGACCCCGACACAGGATTAGTTACAGATCCCATAACAGGCCTCACCCTGACTCTACAGGCAGCAGTGTCTCAGAAAATCGTCGACCCGGAGACAACGTTCTTCTATGACGTCCCCTCAAATAGGGTGATGAGTCTTCAGACAGCCATTGCCGCTGGGAGATGTAATCTCAAGACAGGCTGTATAGTAAAGGGGGAAACTGGAGAGGAGATATCTGTGAGTGAAGCTATTGAAGCTACTCAGATCTTTGCCCATATTGACCCCGGTCAGATGGCCGAGCACGCCGAGACCATCTCCAAACTCCGTGGTGTAATGGACACTAAGATTAAGGGAGTGAGGATCCCGACTACCAGTGAGGTGCTATCTATAGAAGAAGCTGTAACCTGTGGTGTTCTTAACATTCCCGTTGTGGCCTATGCAGACTCAAAGGTCAGTGAGGACATTCCACTTCAGGTGGCGGTCAAGAGAGACCAAGTCGAACCAGAAGCAGCTATTGCAATCTTTGCTGCTTTTGATAAACTCTCGCTTCAGGAAAGCATAAGTTCGGGAACTTTAAATCCAAAATCAGGCAAATTTGTGAAAGCAGATACACGTGAAGCTATTCCTGTCGATGTTGCCCAGACTTCCGGAGTGTGGAATCCTAATTATGTGTACTTTGTAGACAATGAAACTGGCAATGTTACCAGTCTCGGGTCCTTTATGGACAGAGGGAAGTTCGATCCTCAATCTGGTAAGGTGATCAGCAGTGCTTCCGGTCAAGCAATGACCATTGAACAGGCTATTGCCAGTGGCCTGATAACCCCAAGCATTGAGCCGGAGAAGTATGTTGACACATCTACGACGCTTAAAGACCTTATCGACAACGGGAAAGTTAATCCCAGATCAACAACATTTGTTGCCCCGAATGACCTTAGAATGTCCTTGAGAGATGGCCTTGCCCATGGATTCCTGACGATGGGATCAAAGGTCAAACTTGATCCTTCCACTGGGGAACTATTTTTGGTGTCAGATGAAGAAATTGTGCGAGCTTTGGTTGATGTGAAGGAAAACACCGATTGGCTGAGTGATGTTGAAAAGACAATTGGTAGTCAAGGGAAACCAAGCGAGAGGCTTGAAAAATTGAAAAAGCAATCTACAGACACTAAGGTAAGACCTTTCTGTTGAAAGAGACTAATTAGCAGTTAAAACTTGTTATTGAGTGATTTATCATCAAACATATGATTAAAGACCTACAAGTAACCTTAGGGCACTTGGGTAAGCTTCAGTAGGTCACTGCACTTGAGGGTGGGTCTTCCGTGTCTAGTTAACGCTGCAATGCGAGTAATATAGGCCTATCTTCTCCACTTAAATTGGGATATCTCCTGACTTCATATCGCAATGTTCACTGTGCTTTTGAATGATGGCTTACGCCCGGATTAATGTCCTATAAACTACTCATGGAGGGTTTCTAGCCTATCTACACAGAAATGTCCTGTATGTTGGCCGGTCTCGAAATAATGTCAGCGTCCAGGAAAATCTAACGCCATTGCTACCCATGATAGGCATGTATCTCTCATAACTTATCTGTTATACATGTCATGTAATGTGTGTAATACTATTCTATGGGCGTAGAAGAAAGTAATGGATTCGTACAATGCACTGCTCTCGTACACAGGTGATACATGAGCTTGATCTCAGTATTCTGCTTGCTGAATCGACTTGTTCCCAGGAAAAGTGGGCATGACCTGATTGAATGGACATTTGTATCGTTGGTTTCATATAAAAAATAGCAAATGCTGCCGATTATTATAATTATACACAAATAATGGTTGGAAATTATTCAAACTTTGAAAACTTGAATATCTATTCAAACAAAACGACCGCCATGGTGTCTGTGATAATTATTGTGTCACGTACGCATCCCTCCCACCTATTACCCAAGTTAGTATTGGGGTCGTGTAGTTGTAGACGTGCCATTGTGTTCCAGATACAAAGTTATCTTATCTAAAGGTATGCATCTACAAACTAAATCCAAATTGACCCCTGCAATACTTAATTAGAGAGCTATTACTTGCCAAATAATTTAAGTTATTGTCTTAGGTCTTGTAGACAGACTAGTGTAGTGGTTAAGGTTTCGTTCAAATGAGTTCAAATCCTCAATTTGTAAAATATATAAATCTCGTTCTTGGTGTCCCCTGTGTCATATGACGAATGTAACTAGAAGCGGCGTAACACTCTACTCACTTTACCCCTTACTTATTCACCCCTCACTCCGTTCCCCCAGGTTGTGAAGGCCGACATCGAGACGCGGGAGCCAGCAGTAAGGTCCGCCATTAAGCAGGCTGAAGACCTCATTGAAAACAACAAAGGTGTCAAGAAAGATGAAGGAGACCAACAGATCAAGAAACTCCGCTATAACACTGCTGACCTCAAAGTCAGGTTCGATGCTGTAAGTACTTTATGAACTTCGGTACATTTCTTTCTGCTCGTCTTTCATGTGAACAAGATACTTCCTTCATGTAAGTATGTGTTTTATCACAAAACGAACTGCATTTGAATGTTTTACATGTTTCAGATCAGAATATGAAGAGTTCACTGCCCATATATCTATTTTATTCAGTTACCAAATGATGTCAGAACGCAGTTAAATTTCGCGCTTGCCGGTACATTAACAATTATGTCATTTTTACCTATCGAGCACTTGCTTCGGAGATCTTGTCAACCAGTGTTAAGCATACTAGATAATTTTTAATTTGCGAATGCTTGACGCGTTGCGGAATTGTGATGTTTGAGGCTGCGTATTAAATGTTAAATGTTGAGAAAATCCTCATTTTCTACGTTTAATCTCAGGCGTCGAATGAAACCACCACCCGCACCAAACGCATGGATGGTATGTTCGAGGAGTTAGAACAGTTCTATAGCAAGCTGGAGAACCTGGATCAATGGATGGACGGTGCGATCGAACGCACCCAAGACCTTCAGAGTTCCAAGGGCGACGTGGAGGCACAATTCAACGCCTTCAAGGTAAATCTTTCTTATCAGAATTTGCACTTAACTGGGTATTTAAACAATCAGTTGAGTAAGTGTGTACTCAATAAAATTGTAATTCATAAACATGTCGACATAGAATTAATGCATATTAATTCATTATATTAAACAATATTTATAATGTATTTGTGTACTATTTAGAAGTTGAAATTCAATCGTCGATTGTCTTCTGTATTTTGTTTAAAGTAGCAGCAGTAGTAGTAGTAATAGTAGTTGCATTGTGTTTCGTAAAATATCATCATCATCATCATCATCATCATCATCATCATCACCATGTCCCGAACAGCATCGTCTTAACGTCAGTTCCTATTGCAGGCTTTCGTGGAGGAGGTGAAAGAGAAGGAGGAGGCCCTAGCTGATATCGCCAAGCTGTCGGACAGCTTCAGGGATGAGGCACAGGTACAGTTCAGATTGTTGTAGTGACGGCGGGGGCTGAAAGAAGGATTAAAACATCGCAGTAGCACACGTTAGAGGCGATCGTGTTTAAAATAAGAGCGACATAACACTTGTTAAAGTTTCAAAACTATTTTCTAGGAGTAGTGTCTACTGTACGATTTCAGTTAAATCATAAGCATATCATCAACTTAATGAGCAATTGTAAATAAGAACGAAGCTAATAAAAACGCATTTTCCTAATTTGCCTGAAACAAGATGAACACCGAACTGTCCATTTGCATCACAGAACGTCATCTATATTTGAAAGAACTCTTATATTTTGATGTTGTAACTACTGCAAAGTTTAGTTCTTCTTCGATCTGTCAGTATAGAATCAACATACCTTTATCAACAACAGATTTGTGAATGAAATCAGTTTGACTCAAAATGACAATTCAATTTTGACCAATCACCGCTCGTGCATCCGTTGTCTTCTATCAAGTCCGCGTCATAAAAACATGTACTCGCTATAAGGGAACACTGACATCAACAAACCGTTAGATAATTTACACCAGTGTTAAGGGATACTTAGTTCCCTCGATATAAGGCATGACTTCTTTCTCAGTCACTATCGCTACGGGAGACATATTGCCTCATTATAGTGGCTTAATGCTATCGAATGCATCAGTAAGCATGAAGGAGGTACCTGGACCTATGTTATGTGGATATTGTCTGGGGGTCGTTGATACACTCGGCTTAACCCGACTCATTCGGGAAATAACAGGGTGCCAACCTTAACATCAACATGTCGGATTTTGACGAGGAGGCCGAGGTATTTATGTTTTCACACCTTTGTCAAGAATTTGTTTGGACTTTTTAAAGTTGGTTGATGCGATAGTTTACCAGTAAACATTCCATCACGTGAATCGATCTTAAAATGAAATGTTAGCGAAATAACATTTTTTGTCATTGACAGTAGCATGTGTGACGGTATATCTGAACTACTGTCATAGTTCGTATTGTTATCACATGTAAAAGTATTATACATTTTACGTGTGTTTTATAAGCATGCCAAAATATTCAACCAAACAGGTCAGTAATTCGTCACATTTAAGTGACGTAATGATAAGAATGTAAACTCAACTCTATTCTAACTCGCTCACGGGCTGTTTATAGAATGGTGTAATGGTTTTGATAGACGACGGAAATCTCCGAGTATATAGGCAGGCGTAAAGCAATAGGTCACTTCACTATCATACTGATCATTGTGATGTTCTAATGTAGTTTAGTGGTCATACGCCGGTTGCAATGGCCATGTGTCTGGTGTCCCCGGCCTTTATACTGATACACAAGTGACGTTGTGTCGAGCGTAGATGATTCGTACTTACTGCTATCACGAAACAGATGTTTGGCTCCAGCGTGTTCCTTTTTTCCGTATTCCTCTTCATTTTGCAGTTATGTCGAACCTCAAATAACTCGAACTCTTTACGTAGGCCCCTTCAAATTCGACACAGCAGTTCGCGATATACATATATTCCGAAATCTTGTCAAATATCTTCCGAGAAATGAAAATCCATCACACCCAATTCATTTTTTGTATATTGCCCCACCTCAAATATTACTTACATTCTCTTTCACAACGACTCTGTGTCAGTTAGCCGATTCCTATAACAGTGGATATGGCCCCAATACCATATTTACCTGAATGTAAACAGCCGTGTTAAAGTAGAACTGATTTCTTCACATAGAGCGAGTGATATAAGAGAACGGGGTATAGACGAGCACCCTGTGGCAGGGTATTGTGCACTACCCTTCATTGTTCACGGCGTTGTGGTATCGGGGTGGCAAACCCCTCTATAAACATACCTGTAATGAACTAACGCTTGTGTCGACAGTGAAGTAACCTCAGGCTGCGTCATTGTAAAGTAGGGTAGCTGAATAGAGTATTTCTTAGGTGTTAATAACATACAAGTCAATGTGTCTTACAATGAACTTGTCTGAAAATGACTTGTGGTTAATGATACTGTAAGGACTCTATTTATAAAAGTCACATATATCTAATAATGATATATATCATTGAAATTGTACAAACACTTTTTTGTGTTGTTATTATAAGGAAACAGACGAAACAGACTGAATATTTCTCATTGGATGTAATATTGAAATTGAATGTATCCATACGGGCAATGTGTATGTTCACATTTCAGATTATGTCGTGTGTTTAGCGCACACGATGTGGACAATGTATAGGTTCAGTTAGGAGACTGATAATTGCTGTCTTTCTATCTGATTCGATTCCCTCATTGCTGCTCTCTGCTATACTTCTTCCGCTTATAGCTGTACCATTGGTCGAAAATTGGTAAAAGCTGTTAGATCCATGCTGACACAACTATTCATTCAATCCGTCCCTCTATTGTTTTTCCAGGATTTCGACCGCGAGGTTGATGCCTACAGAAAGCGACTGCAGATCCTGCCTACCATTAACGAAGAGGCCGAAAATGGCATCCTTGATGACGAGATTGAATCAATTGAGGCAAAATACAAGGACATATCCAGAGACTGTGCTAAGCACATGGACAGGCTTGCCTCTCTCATGAAGAACAAGAAATCCTTCGATGACCTCAACGATAGACTCACTGCTGTCTATCCGGCACTTCAGGAAAAACTGATGCAAATCGAGGATAAAGACTTTGGTAAGAACCCTGCCAAAGATGCTAAGGATCTTGGAGATCTGAAGGCAATTAAGGCCGATCTTATTGGACAGGAGAGAAAGTTGAAGGATCTGTCTGCAGCGGGAGAGAGACTGGCTGCTGGGTTGGCTGATGCTGGTCTCAAGACTGAGGCTAAGGATGTTCTGGATACAGTGGACGGTCAGAAGGAGAACCATGCTGCCCTCTTGGAGTGTATCCAAGACAAGGAACATCAGCTGGACTCTGCTGTTGCCCAGCAACAGAATGTGATGAGTCGGCTGGATGGTGTTGTGGATTTGATTGCTGATGCTGAGAGGATTCTTAACACTCGTCAACCAATAAGTCTCAACAAGGACAAGTTGGCACAACAGCTGCAAGATCAGAGACTGCTGAACGCCGACCTCAGCAGCAACAAGGGTCTGATTGACCGTCTGTCCAGAGAAGCTCATGATGTTTCTGGAGCCGATGAGAAACTGTCGGACCTGACTGACAGGATTGAAGACCTGGAGAGGAAGGCTAACATGAGGACCCAAGAGCTGGAAGATGTGTCAAGTGGAATAAATGACTTCGAGAACAAGATGTCTGACATTGACTACTGGCTGGACGAGTCAATTATGTCCTTGAAAAATAAACCAAAGGGAGCTACACAGAAGGCAATGAAGGCAAAGGTCGACGCCCTGTACAAGGAGAAGCAGGAGCGAGAGGAAGAGATGGAGGGACTGAGAGATGCCTGTAGACGCCTGATGGATGACGATAGAGTCACTGATGAGTACGCAATGAAGGAGTGTTTGGGCGCTGTGGAGACGAAGTGGCATGACCTCACAGAGCTGCTCGTGCAACATGTCTCCCTCGAGGTAGGTGATAAATGAGCATGAACTCTGCTCTTTGTTATATGTGCCTTTGTATAAATATATTGTATATGTGGTTCAGGTGTGTAAGGCCCCACGATTCGCTTACAGAGTTGCGTCCCTTGGCCACGCCAGAAACCTATGAATGTGGTTTCGAATCCCGGTTCGCTCCGATTATGTTTGAGTTGTGAGTTTAGTTTTATCCGGTTTTCGGCAGTATTCCAGCAATATCACGGCGGAGGACACCAAACATGGGCTCCACACATGATTATGTTTGAAGACTTGTCAGTACCATACCATGGTCAAGTGTTTCACTTTAATGATAAACATTTGAATCTGTTTCACTTCGAGCAAACCGACACGCTGTAGAATAATTGGAATACTGTTAAAAGCGGTGTTGACTGCACCCAGGTCACTCACTCACTCACTTAATCGCAACATGCCTGAGTGACTGTCCCTTTCACAGAGTGATGGCTCTTCCACAGTTATTCTGTCTAATATAGGCCAAAGTGATCACACTTACTATTATTATATTCCTTTATCAACAAATATCTAAGATTGTTAATACCAATGGAGAATCTCTAACGGGCAGCATATGTTGCGCCGATGGAACCATTGCGTTTCAGGGGAATCGGCTAGCTTCAACAAATACTTACAAAGCGTTATGCATATTCAAAGCATTCCTAATCAATAACCACACTATTCTTCAAATCGATTACAAGTCATAACGGGACAATAAATTGCATTCACTGACTATCCTAAAGGGAAGAGTCCATTACCAAACTAAAGAATGGCCATTGATTTGTATTTCCAACTCCGAGTACACTAGAGTTGATCGATCATCTCGTACTAGTGCTATGTGCGTTCATGATGAGTGTAGATTTGTATCAGTAATAATGCACGTTCCTGGAATATTTAGTGTTTTAAAATGTTCCGTAATAATATTGATGGTGTTATTAGAAGCGCCTTCTCCAAACGTGTGCTGAATGATTTATTTGTTTATGGAGATGAACGGAAATTGGTGAGTGTAAAAACGAACATGTTTCAATCGTTTCTGGCAACAAATGCTATTCGCAAGATCACAACCTGTTCCTAGCTATTAGTCGGCACGTGGTACAATTGCCTAAAGTATAATGTTTTACCATGTATTTCATTGCTGTTAAGGTATTTACTCAGTTTTGTAAAATCGTTTGTTATGTGTAACATGAGTTGTCTCCCTTTCAGGCTCTCTCGGAGATAGACGGCATGTTAAAGTATCTGGACAAAGCAGAGAACGAGATTAATACAGCCGAACCAATCAGCGTTGACCCCGAGACGCTTAGTGTTCAGTTGCGTGATCACAATGTAAGTCACATTCCATCTCTGTTACAAACTTTCGATGTTAACTCATAATCCTGACATAATGTTCCCTCACTTACTTGCAAAGGATCATCAAACGCTATGGTACGTCTTTGAGTGGCATTTATAAGTTGGTGTTTTGAACAACGAGGAGATTTCTTTGGATATACAACTTCTATATTTTTAATATGAGCGACGTTTCGGTGAAGCTACTAACTCCGTTCCACTTGCTTGTAACACCATTGCGTGATAATGGTGTTAGTAGCTACACCGAAACGTCGCTCATATAAATAAAATAGAAGTTGTATTCCAGAACCCATAGAACTCTTCTCGTTATTTCAAGTACCATGATAATCAGCATCAGATTACAAGTGGTCTTGGACAACCCATCCTTGTCTTCAGAGGCAACAAGCGGAACAGGGGGTTAGCCTAGGTGGCTTACTTGTTGCTTACTTGTTGCATGTCATCGTTTACCAATTGCATAGGCGTGTGTTCATGATATCGATCACCGGACCAGCCTCGATTTTTTTTTCAGCAGACCACCATCTATAGCTTGAGTATTGCAGCGTTAGAAAATACAAAATTAGTAACAAATCAACCCAATCTGTAATAAATATTGTATATGGGGGTGGTGGGGTGCAGATAGATCAGCAGCCATGGGTAAAGGATGATCTCATTGTTCTTAATCACAAATGTCATTGTTCTTAAAGAGTAATTATTTCTGTGTGTTTTTTACCTACGTACATCAACGTTTTTATGTTCTGTATGACCGAACGAATTATAAGGGATATATATATATATGATTAATAATCGTGCTATTATCACACGTGCAGGCCTTCAACGATGACTTGATGCAGAAGCGTAACGCAGTCAAGGACATCATCAACAAATGTAACCGGATGTTGCGGGAGACGACCAATGAACAGACAGATGAGATCAAAAGTCGACTGGACAGTATCAAAACCCAGGCCGACATCGTGTGTCAGCTGAGCGCTGATAGGCTGCAGCAGTTGGAGGCCGCCCACCCTCTAGCCTCGCATTACAGCGAGAACCAAAACGAGGTCCAGGCATGGCTGGACGAAATGGAAGCAGAACTGAAAGCGCAAGGCAAGCCAGGAGAAAGTCTGGAGCAAGTTAGGAAGCAGTACGAAAACTTAAAGGTAGCCTTTCATTGTGTTCTAACACTTACGAATTACTTTAAATGTATTCAATTTCGTTAGATACGTGAAGATCCAGGTTATGATTGGACTTCAGCAACTCATGCTTGTCATAAGCGACAAATGGGATCGGGTGGTCAAACTCCCTGACTTTGTTGAAACATGCGATCGTATCCCATGCGTAGATCGATGGTCATGATGTTGATCACTGGATTGTCTGGTCCAGACTCGATGATTTTACAGACCGTTGGAATTTTGTTCAATGCGGCCTTTAACAACAACCAAAAACAAGCAAAAGTTAAAGTCAATTGTCTTTAAGTCAATTAATAAGAATGCTTGCTGGTAGAGTTTTAAACAACATAAACCCAAGATGTTAAGTTATGCAAAGTATGAATTATGTTCCCAGGGTACACAGCAGATCATTGATGACCACAAGCCTTACATTGACGACCTCAACTCCACCGGTCTTGAGCTGATGGACTTGTGTGGTGATGGCGATGCCACAGACATCCATAATAAACTCCTCAGCATCAACGAGAGGTATGAGAACGTGAAGAACCAGGCCAGACAGAAGGCCAGGGAGCTGAACGACTCCAAGAAGAAGCTGACCCAGGAGGTGTCGGACACACTGGACAACCTGGTGGAGGAGCTGGCTGCCCTGAAGAGCTCTGTAGCCAATGCTGACCCCATCCCAGCCACACCCGACAAACTGAAGAACGATATCGATGAGAACAGGGTATGTATGCTCCTCATATCCATGGTTCCTATCAACAAAACGTTCGTAGCGTTACGTCATTCGTAAGCCAATTGTGTAGTATAGAGTCATGCTAGGTCGTAAAGTTACGAACTCTTTGTGGATGGGGACCTTGACCTGTATCTCAAAGAGGTAAAACTAATGATACCGTAGCAGTATTTAGTGGACACAGATGTCCCCATCCATAATGGAATTCTTATCCTTTACCATAGTGATATTATCTGTGTCCTTGTTTCAGGCTGTGCTGGAAGATCTGGAGAGACAAAAGCCTTATAAGGCAAAAGCTGAAGAGATCGCCAAGAATGTCTCCGCCCATGGAATCGAGGATCCTTCAGAAAGTGAGTTGAGATGTGTCCATTCTGTTGTTGTTGTGTGCACATCTATGAAATTGAAACCGGGTAAAATATGTAATAACTCTGGATGATGTGATTTCTTTCAAAACAATTGCTGTTGTGCTCATTATTAATACTTGTTCTCTTTTCATTTTTGTCTAGTCGAAGATGTGAAAGCCAAGGTTGCTGAGATCAACAGTATGTTTGTGGAGGTCGGGCAAGAAGCTCAAGCTCGTGACAAGAATCTTACCAAGGCGCTCCATGCCTCAGAGAAGTTCCATGACCTCTGCAGTGACGTTATGTCCGGTTTGCGCGACCTCAAGGACAGCTTGTATTCTCAGGAGCCGCCAGGAGTAGACGCCGCTACAATCAAAGAACAACAGAATGAACTGAGTGTAAGTCAAGGCGGCAATTTGTGAGTGAGTAAGCGAGCAAGCGACTGAGAATATAGTGAGTAATAAATAGTCAAGTCACAACTGTAGAATTCAGAAAGAGGCTGTCATTTTCACAATTAAAATGCCCTTTACACTTGAAGTTTGGTAGAATCGGTATAGTATTAATATAGGCTAATATTTATATAGAATGTCACTGATGAAGAACTCGTGAAGATCCAGGCTAAAATCTTCAGCAACCAATGCTTATCATAAGAGGCGAGTAACGGGATTGGGTGGTCAGGCTCGCTGACACGGTTGATACATGTCATCGTATTCCAATCGCGTAGATCGATGCTCATGATGTCATTCACTGAATTGTCTGGTCCAGAATCAAATACTTTTAGAGCGTCGTCTTAAAGCTGCAAGGCCTTGTCTTCATGAAGTATGTCACAAAAGCAGCAAACCGTCTCTCTGTTTCTGTATAAAATGGCCACGTTATACATATGGTGCTGCTTCGTTCTTCAGGGCATTAAGAAGGAGATGGAGAAGGCCCGGGAACTGATGGGAGAGTGTTCCCAGATCGGGGACGAGTTGTGTTCCCTGTGTGGAGACCCTGGCCGGATTGAGGTTCAGAAACAGATGGAGGATCTGGTCAACCTGGCTGATGACGTCAACGACATGGTCAAAGACAGAGGCGAGGAACTCCGTCACGCCTTCCAGCATGCAGACAAATTCACACATCTCTTAGACGTAAGCTTTAACTAATATTCTCCCAGTCTACCGTGTGTGCATTTCACAAATATTTCAATGATTTTCTGCAAAAGATTATATAATTTAATTGTTTTCATAAATGAACATTATTATATTTTTCACATACAAAACTGTACTATTATCTTATCACAGATTCACATTTCGTTCAATGACAAGTACGTGTCTGATATGTTGTATAAATGTATATTCTTGCTGTCAGGATTCCACTTCTCTCAAGACGAATACATCAAAGCAAATCTATCTCCATAATTGTGTCTGTAATGTTTCGTTCAATTCCTACATATAAATCAGATAGATCCTAAATAACCTTTAAATGTGTTTACTTTGTCGCCAGTATAACAGAGTAAGTATAAGTGTCGTCACGTGACTGTTTAGTCTATCTTTCTTTGTCCATAATTCCCTTCTTCGTGATGGAGGGTTTAAATATTTGTCTCCATGAAATAATATTTAACATGTTGTCAGTAGATTCCTATTTCCTTGTTTCCCGTAGGCTCCATAGCATATTTTTGCGATGATAACCATTAGCTTTGTTATGGCTTGTTTATATAGTTTCCTCTTTATTTTGTTGATAGTGTTTTGCATTACATGTTTGTGCTTATGGTTTATCACTGCCCTGTTCTCAATTGCACCTTATTTGTTGTTCAATTTTTATTTTATTTCTTATTTTTCTTATTGATCATTTTACAAGGGTAAACGTGTTATTTACAAAGTCATGTCGGTCTTTTCCACGCTTTTAATAATTTTCTTTATTTCCTTAATATTAATATCGGTGTTCATAAAACATTTTTTATACATCTATCGAGGGAAGCTTAATTAACATATGAGCGGGAATAATATTTACGTAACAATGTGCTTTGGCGTTCTTTATTTGGTTTTCCATGGTAACCATTAACTCGTTGACACGCAGTTTTAATTTCGTTGCATCCTCATCGCGCTGATTTAAAGCGATACATATTACATAGGTTATACATACGATGTGTCACTCGCCTTACCACTGCTATGTTGTTGTTGTGTTGTAGTCGGTGATGTCATGGCTGCCGCTGTCAGAACACAAGCTTGCGGGCATGAGGTCGCCATCCAGTGACCCGAAAACACTTGTTGAGCAGATTGAAGAACTCAAGGTGAGGAGTGCATTGACATTAGTCTCATAGTGGTTGATGACGTATCAGTGTCGAAAGCATTGCTGGGGTTGACATCATATTGTTATCTGTGAACTGCCTTGGGCGGTGGGGTAGCCTAGTTGTTAATGCGTTCGCTCGTCACGCCGAAGACCCGGGTTCGATTCCCCACATGGGTACAATGTGTGAAGCGCATTTCTGGTGTCCCTCACCGCGATATGGCTGGCATATTGCTAAAAGCGGCGTAAACCTATACTCACGCACTCACTGTCAACCGTCTTGATATGGCTTAAATGTTGCTGAAAAGGAATTCTGTGGTAGCCAGGTAGATTAAACCTTCGGTCGTCACGCCAAAGGTCCGAGATCGAATCCGAACATGCGGAAATGCCTGGAGCCCGATTTTGGTACCCCTTGTCGTGATATTGCAAGGTCGCGTAAAACACAACCTGCTGTTTCACTATTACCATATACCGACTCACTAACAGTCTCAATATAGTGTCATCCGTTTTCCTGTTTGTAGTTGTTCAAGTCGCAGACCCATCCTCACATCGTGGACATGCAGCAGCTCAACCAACAGCTTGCTGCCCTCAAGGACGTGTCCCCGGTAGCAGCAGAGGCGTTGTTGCGGCCGGTGCAAGAGGCGAATGAGAAGTGGAACGACATCATCAGAGGCATTGGTGACAGAGAGGTAAGTCGTTACAGTCGTTCATGATGCAGCAATCCACTGACAACGAATGCCTTTTATGTCATCTGCGTTAAAAGTGATTGTGTGATTAGGTCTCAATTAACAATTGTTCGTTCGTGAATCTGATGCTGTTCAGAAACGCTCATTGCATGTGGTACTCTTAGATTTGATTTAGTTCATCATTTCTTTAGTTATGTACACATTTAGTTACATTGTTAACGGTTTCAATGTAATTTCCCAATGTAGGCCAAGTTGAACGACATGCAGGTCAAGGTCGGAGAGGTAGACAAGGCCATGTCTGGTGTCATGGCGTCCTTAGACGCAGTTCAGCAGGATCTGGAACCGCTGGAACACATTAAGGGAGACCCCAAGTACTTGGAAACACACATGCGCAAGCTACAGGTGTGTGTCCGATAACGTGACTGCTGAATACATGTATATTTTCATATGATCTGTGTATCAATTTGCATAACCTTCTAACACCATATGCACCTAAACCAGACGTCATCATGGACATGCAACGAAGACAATAACCAAAATGTCTTGGACATTTTTCTTACTAACATTTTTGTTCCAGCTTTTGCAAGCCGATCTACGGAATCAAGAAAAGACGTGCCGAAAGTTAAACAAGGCAGTTCATGAAATCGTCGCACGGACAGACGGCGGTGACACGGCCTTGACCCACAAATGTGACGACATGAACGAGCTTCTTCGCGCCACACAAGCCAATGCTAAAGACAAAGAAAATAAACTACAGGAAACTCTAAGACAGGTAGGAAGTCACTAACATACGGTGGTACCCCTTAGACGAGTCTATTATTCATAATTATATCACTATTAATGCTTAAAAATTACGTTTTGTATTTGGGTGTAAAACCTAAAGCCAAATCATCACTGCTATTGTTTACAAAGGTACATTGAACATCTAATACATTGAAGAAATATGATGTGACCTTGCATTATGAAGAAAGTCCTAACATTGATCCTTGGCGTTGCAGGTCAAGAAATATCTTGGTAACCTTGACGACATGCTTCAATGGACGAATGATTTCCGAGCGGAGTTGAAGACAAATGCCCCCTTCGGTGCTCTCCCGGAAACAGCAGAAAAACAGTACCAGAAGTTCCTGGTACGGGTTTCTTGTCTAATAGAGATGACAGCATAGGATCTGATATGAAGCCGTGTAGCTCCTTGACGAAAGGAGGAGTTTTACTCATACATTACAACTGATTTCATACAAATGTATTTGAAAGATCAGTCAATGCCAGCTCGAGAGGCACTGTTTTAAAAATGTATAATAGTGATCTTTTTCAGATCAAATGTTTGTTTGGATTTTTCAAACATTGCTACAACCGGTCTAATGTTGTGTTCGGGAGGCTTTAAATTTGTTGTTTCAATGCAATGTTTCCTTTATATTGATTACTGTCTGTTTGAAGGTTTGCAAGTTAAATATTCAATTTGGGGGTAAATATTAAGCTTTTGAAAGCTGCTTGTCGGATCTGACATGCATCGATCTGTTTAAAGTCACCATCAAGATTTCATATGCAAATTGTAGTATGTACATTGTGTTTCTTACATCAGCTTTTAACTCGATCATGACTGAACCTCAAATAGCCAGATGTTTCTTGATGAATATACGCATTACGTTATGAAAAATTGTGGAAACTCTGCCACAGGCTACAAACGAAGAAGTACCGTCTTATAATGTGTTCCTTTCAATACATTGGCGTTAAAGTAATAGAAATTATTTAGATCCTTGGTCAGTTATAGTGTCTGTGAACTGGGTGCATTCGTCCGGATAGAAGAGACGGAATAATACTTGAAAAAACGTTTTTACTGTCATCTGTAAATAATTTCAAAACAGTAAATACAGGCTCAAAAGGACGCACGGTCTTGAAGCTTCGGAGTTGCGTTATCAGCAGCGATTGTTATTCCTTGTTAATGCTTGTGTAGGAGCCTGTCTTTAAATAGTTTTGTTTTTGAACATCACGAAAATCTGCAGGCGTTTTCGGAAATTAAATCAATTTATACAACTTTCAAGACAGTGAACTTATATTCAGCAGACTGTTTGAGAGTAGTGATGTATATGAAATATGATAACTCTCAAATCTGAAATGTTAAATTTACAAATATTGACTATTAGATTTTCAAAGCATAGGAATCCAATCGACCGCATTGTGTCAGTTTTTACACCATCTATGGTCTTCCAGGAGCGCTGCGGTGAGATGGACGGCCGCGAGAAGACGGTTCAGAACCTGCTGACAAATGGTCAAGACATGGTGGAGAAGTGCCGTCCAGAAGATGTCACTGCCATTGCAGAAAAACTGAAGAAACTCAGAGATAGATGGCAGGACACGAAAACCAGAGCCAGCAAGAGGAAGGTATGTGTGCATAATGAAAGTTAAAAAGTAAATAAACACTACTTTCGTCAATAATTTAAAATATTGATAATACAAACTCTACGTAACCCATGAGGATTCGGGTTAGAATTGGTCTTCAGCAACCCATGCTTGTCGTAAGAGGAGACTGACGGAATTGGGTGGTCAGGCTCGCTGACGTAGTTGACACGACATCGTATCCCAATTGCGTAGATCGATGTTCGTGATGCTGATAACTGGATTGTCTAGTGGAGACTTGATTATTTACAGACCGCCGCCATATAGCTGATTGCGACGTTAAACAACAAACAAACACTTACAAATCTCTTTGAACTGAGATCAGCGGTACATTCTCACTACATTGGCACAACTGATTTTGTAAGGAACTTTGTGAAATACAGGGCAATTAAAACTGTTTTATAGTTAATGAATGTCAAAGTAGTATTGATTTAAAATACGAACTTTCTACAACGGTATAGAACTTAACCCTTCTTGTTGTTGCAGGAAAAAATGGAGGAGCATATCCGCAATGTCGGAGAGTTCAACAATACTCTCAAGGCCTTCACTGATTGGCTGAATAATGCCGAGATCTCAATGCGAGGCTTCAAGTATCCCAGCAAGCTCGTGGAAAAGGTCACACATCAAATCGAGGACCATAACGTAAGCATTACATCTACACATCTAAAAGTACAGCATGTGTTTAAGTATGTTGAGTGTAGTATTCATTTAAAGCCAAGATCTGGTCACGTTCAGTTTTCTTTTTGTGTGCTTGTTTCACTCAGATGTTGTGGAAAATTTCAGTAAGATGTTGTTGCTGTTCACATGTTAGATAATGCATGGATATGTTAACTATAGATTACATCATCATACAACATACGATATTATCATAACGCCGTCACATAGCTGGAATACTGCCGAGTACGGCGTTAGACATCGGGCCCCTGAGAAGATCCGGGTAGGCACTGGGTTTCTGCAACCCATGTTTGTCGTTAGAGACGACTAACGGGATCGGGTGGTCAGGCTCCCTGACTTGGTTGACACATGTCACTGTATCCCAATGGCGTAGATCGATGCTCATGATTTAAACCACTGGATTGTCTGGTCCAGACTGAAATACTTTCAGAGCGTCGTCAGCTGGAAGGCAGAATTAACCAATAAATAAACAAAAGAACTGTATCCTCCGATTTTACGTTTATGGTCTCCTTTGCATACACATATAATAGTTGAATAGTTGGGACTAGATACCACTATGTTACTTTATTTTAATACCTCCTTAAATGGCGGCATACTTAAAATATACCGGGTGCGGTAGGTAGCTGGTCACGCTGAAGACCCGGGTATATTTCTCAACTTGTTTAGATTAAGGGAAGCCCATTTCCTGTGTCCCCGCCGCGGTATTGCTAGACTATTGCTAAAAGCGGCCCAAAGCCATACTCACTCATTCACTCACTCAATACAACGTACCGACCGACCTCTCCACCAGGCACTGAAGGCGGACCTAGAAGCCCAGGCAGAGAAGATGCTGACGTTAGACCGAACTGGAACCTACCTCAAGTACTTTGGTAGAAAACAAGACACCATTTACATCAAGAACCTGTTGGTTGGAATCCGTCTAAGATGGAAGAAACTGCTGCGGCGAACCGACGAGAGAGGGCGCTTGTTGCAGCAGGCTTACAAAGAGGATAAGAGGGTGGGTCACGTGATGACATATGACGTTGAATTTAAGTGTATATAGTGTAGTTTGTGAAGAGTTAAGAATGCATGTGTTTGCTCAACTGCCGGGTCACTCTGTGTCGGTGGTCACTCGATGTGGATGGTCACTCGATGTGGATGGTCACTCGTGATGGTCAGCTAGCATTGTTTAAAGCTTCTCAATCATCTCCTTTGTTGATGTTTTATGTTGTTTATGCATGGGATTGTTCTTATTTCGCTGCGAATCATTAAATAATTGTGTCGACATGAATTATTGGGATTTGTACGATGAATTATTAAGTATTGGTTTTTGAGTGAGTTATGAATATGACAAATGTTTGTGGCATGTGAATAAATTGAACAAAAATGGTTCATAAAGTACTCAGCACCGAGATTCTTATTTCATGAACCAGTGTATGCTATGTTCTGAATGTTGTACATCGATGTATTCCGAGCGCAGCTGTTGTCAGTTTATATGTATCTCTATAGTTAATGGATAGTGTCAAGATTCAGGTTTCAAGGTCGTGGATGTTTTAATATATTATATTTATCAGTCTTTGTGTATGAGCTTCGGCTTGTTGTTGTTGGCGGTTTTCTTTTCTTTATCGTTGTTAATTAATGAGTCAAATATAAGGAAAATGTTTTTATAGCAAAGCCTGCTCTAAATATCTCTTATGATATGAGCAAACTATGGTATTGTTGGTAAAGAGAAGTTGCAACTGACACCTGTTCAGATGGAGTTCTCACACCTTCTCGGTGGACCAGGTGTTCCCTGTAAACCTCTGGCGTAACTGGTCCCTATGTTATCTAACATGCAGCTTTGGTGCAGCTGTTATACTACTGACAGAAAACAACATTCGCTCTTTTTGAAATACCATTAAGCCCAAGTGTTGCATCAAACCAGACCATCTTGCAATATCGGAATGAATGAACGATGATGATTTCTGATATTTTGGAGTTAGAGATAGGTTCCTTAATTCTGGTTTGATTGAAATAATATCTATTACAGCCTGTTTTGCATTCAGAATAACAGTTATATAAATGATTTTGAATATCGCTGACCTATGTGGATGATAGAGGTCAAAATAGGAGCTGGATAAGTCGGACTCGTTTACGAATATGTCCTCTGTGTTCCATCTTGGTGATTCAAATTTTGAAGTGTTTCGGCCACTGATCAGTCTTCTGGTGGTCATCTTCCGGCCACCATGCATCAGTAATAAACAAAGTCGTTCACTCAGTGAGTATCACAGTAACGCGGTGTGGGTGTGTTTGTTTCGCAGTTCCACGATGCCTGGAGGAGTTTGCTGGACTGGCTTGAAGACAGTTCCCGGATGTTGAATAAGTTCATGGCCACATCCAAGAATCCATCAGCAACCAAGTCCAGACATCGATGAGCTCAAGGTAAGACATGCTGGTACACGTCACCTGGAAGAGTCTGGTTCTTCATAAAGCGGGGCGGTGGGGTAGCCGAGTGGTTAAAGCTTTTCCTCGTCACGGGTTCGAGTCCCCACATGGGTACAATGTGTGAAGCCCATTTCTGGTTTCTCCTGTCGTGTTATTGCTGGAATATTGCTAAAAGCGGCGTAAAATCATAGTCTCACTCACTCACTCACTCACTTTATGAAGCATCCAACTACCCGGGACATCTTTCTTGCCTTAGAAAGACGCCATTTGAGTATACAGCATAGTATGTAACGTCAAAATGGCATATTTGGTTAATTCATTTTCGGAACTCAAACAGAAAACGACACATTCTATATGACATAAAAACGCCACAAAATAACCTGACTTGATTATCAGAAAATCACATTCTGTAGGCCCAAAAAGGCAATACAGCCTTGACCATGCTATGAATCAATCGATGGAAATCAGTGATGGCAGAACTTGACAGACATTTGTAAGTGAAGGTTACGGTAAAGGTCACCATGACAAGGTCACAATATACATGGTCTGATGCTTTCCTGTCCAGTGAAAGAAAATATGTCTATGGTCGAACAGGTGACAGACGACTACATTCTCATATAATAATCCCACTTGATGGTGCCCCACACAAGACATCTTTGGAATTGGTTTGTTGGTTTTGATAAACCCTTTGGCAACAACATGCCAGTTTAAACACACACAGTAATAACTGCTTACGTTCCATGGATAGTCTGGTCCTTGGATCCCGGTGTTTGTTGGCAGTGTTCCATATAATGTAATGATCCAGTATCAGGTTCCTCTGTGCTTGTACTGCCCACGCGAAAATAATGATTTATCATGATCACAATAAATGTGTGTTGGTACCTTTAAACACGGCTGTTCGAGGAACATTACAGGTATGTATGACTTATTAGCGCCAGTATTCGTCGAACGCATGTCTTATATCGCCCTCTGCGTGTCCATTAATCCTGGATGTCCATATCACGTCGGTGACAGACAGTTTGATATGTGTACCTGTCACTCATGACGCTGTAAGACGCGGGGAACAATGTCGGACTACACCGGTGTACATATCATTACATGAAGCTGTAACTTAAGATGAGGTTTTCGTGCGCCTCTCACCAGTCTCCCCACTCCGGTATCCTCCTCCCAACACACACATAATCTCACTACCTCAGTCTGAACACCTGGTTATCTCTAAAACGGTCAGACTAACCTCACTGTCTCAAAATATATTTTGATAGAAGCAAACAACTCCGTTTAAGAGTAAGAAAAGGCGGGAAGGAAAATAATATGGTTCAGGGGCTGTGATGGAGACTGGGAAGCGGTAACGCATGGTGATAATAAATATGTGAACAAGCATTTAAGTCTGTTTAGATTAATTAAAACTTTGTAGAAATGAGTCATAGAAATGCAAGCGGATCATTTAAGTTTCGTCCTAATTTCTATGTGTGCCAGCACCAAAGACTGGTTCCTGGGTTTCACGAATTTGGTGAACCTCAAAGACCTTCGCTACTTAAAACTTTCCTCATCCGAGTTGACTCATCCAAACATAACATAAATATCTTCCAAAACAGTGTTAAAACCCACTCACTCACTCGCATGATTGATCAATGTTCTGAACGGATGCAGTAACGTATGTTTTACTGTCAAACTGTACATTAACGTACGATTTTCCACAATAATACAAATTCTCCCACGCATATAAATTCTGAGGCAATTTTCCCAAATCATCTTTCCTGGTCGGTTAAGCTTCATGGGTCAGTTGAATCTTTCTGAAGAAAGACATTGTTGGAGCAGAAAATTGGCCATATGAGAAGTTCGGTGGTCAGTCGAGCATGCCCTAATCTGTCCCTCAAGAAACGCCTCTTGTCCCTGCATTTTAAACCATGGTCAGTCATGTGAAACGAAGATAAGTTTACGAAGTGTGTAAATGTAAACCAGTCACTTCGCTTGATATCGCCAAGGTCAACGGTCGGTGAACAGAGAGTATAATAGAGTCATTGTCAGTTACATGATTTGCATAAAGGGTGCATCGCGGTGCTATGTGGAGACTTTGAACAAATATCCCAACGATAGGAGATGTTCTAATGGCAAGTTTGTTCCGCAACAAATCATTTAAAAATATTATGTCAAAGCACCTGAATGAATAAAAGGTGTTGCCAGGTAACAAATTCCTCTTAAAATGTGAAATAGCGGTGGTATTATATGCGAGATTGAGCTGGGTGCTCGTGAGCGCGACGTCCGCATCAGCTGTCGTCACTGAACGGCAAGATGGATAAAATCAACCTGGGCTCTTTTCAGACTATTCTCTTGTCTATTGTAGTCGATAAGGAGTGTGTTGTAGTATATTTCATAGAAAGAACATATTCTATGTCAAAGAGTAATCTCTCAATTATTTCATTTGTTTCATCAAGTGGTATCATCCTCAGTGAACAAAGCGGATATTATCTACCCTTTCCACTTCAGCGAACAGCGATCAATTACATAAACCAACTATCATAGTTGACAGTTCAAATGACACAGACTGTAAACGGTAACCTTATATAATGTTTAAGGCCTCCCAGTCTTTCTCAGATTCATGATACGCATGCCCAGTAGTGGGTGACATTTTTATCGGGTTTATCCATCGAGCCGCTTAGGATGAGCCAGGTAACCTGCTGTCGCTTCAGGCTAGGGCGACATGTAGCAAAGTCACTGTGGCCGGCTCCACACACAGTAAACACAACATCTCGGAGATCTCAAACTTTGGATTAACGCTGTCTGCAAAAGGTATGACCCCGAATTTTCTTTCAGTTCAGCTATTTTCTGTCGTCTGCTTCAGTTTCACGACATTTGCCCGTGTCGTCTGCTCACCATCTTTCAAATCTGTGACATACGGTCTGGGTTGTTCATACCTGAGTGTTTACTCCAGAAAAAGGGTGTCACATTATATGGGAGAGGAGTCCTTTGCTCTTTTGTGAACGACATTCCACAAGTCCCTCTGGCTATTGTGCTGGGAACGATGCCTGTGTGTAAATAAGGATTTATCACCGAGGATGCGTTAAGCATAAAGGTAGAGTCAGAGAAAATATGGCCGTCAGTGACAGACCCTGCATGGATACACTTCTTTAAACGGCGATGTTTTCATTTGGAACTTGTACGTGTGAATGCAGAGAACGGATTAATGTGCTGAATCGGATCTGATATCTCCAGACGCGAGGACCTTATATTCAGGGTCGGAGGTGTTATATCTCTTTGTACTGCAGAAACGTGCCCTGTGCCTTTAGAAAATAGGTGGTTCAGCATCTTTGATGTCTTATATCCTTAAAGGCGTGGTGTAGACATTTCATTTTCTGTTCTTATCCCGATGCCCTTTAACCAACTGATGCTCAATACAAAATGTACTAGCCCCTGATGGTCGTAACTGACCACGTCTTGCCATTTCAGGAGTAGTTTGTGAAAAACTGTGCAGTATTTCAATGCTTTGTCTTTAAATTAATAAGTTGCAAACGTGCAAACGTCATATAATATGCAGCACCTAGGAATATTCCAAATTCAAATGTGGTCATATGTAACTTCTTGAGATGAGAACTAGTACTGTTTCACTGGAACATCTAGAACATTGAGCAACTATAAAACACTATGTTAATTCTCGTTTTCTCTACAAAGTATCAGAGCGGAATATTCTCGTAAACTCAATAATCTTCAAAATGCACCCTTTATGCTCCGAGTGGAGGAATGTCAGTTCCTGTTCCACATGAATGAGTATACCATGCAATCTTGACAGGCTGGTGAATCTAAGGGTAGGACAATGATTGGTTTCCATCAATGCTCTCTAGTACTTGTTAAGTCTGACCTATAGTTCAAATGGTTTTGGTCCATTCATTCAAAAAGTACGATTATTGTAAATAATGAATAATTGAAATTAGTATTGTGGTTAAATTATAGCTTCCTTTTTTGAAAGAAGTATTTGACATATATTTTGGGAACCCAGAAACGTGACGTTGTGCTGTATTTATGCGGGAAGAGATTCTTTACGTTGAATTTTAGACTTGGAATGCTTTCATATACTATAATGTTGGTAATTTTGTATAATACATACACATGTGTTGTAATTAAGTAGGCATGAGATGCACGATTCATGTTTTTGCATGCTAAATATCAAAACATATGGGCAAAGAACATCTCCTTGCTGCACTCATTGACCTACATTGTTGGCAGATTAATCATCCCTTCTGGCCAATACCCCAGATCTGTATCTCTGAGCATTAAGTAACCGTGGTCGTTTGTTCCAGACATTCAACATGGTGTGTGTGAACTTTTCACTCTCACGGATTAATAAGCCGGGACCTAAGGCCGTGTATGAGACTGTCACACCTGAAGTAGCGTACACGTCACAAACTTGACATCCTGCTGCTATCGTCACGCTAAATAGGTCCTGGTGATCACTTGTCTGTGTGGGAGATCTTGCTGAGCCTTTCTTCCTCATTGACTGGGCTGTATCAATGAGTACTGATGTTGTGATGAAGTCCATCATCTTGATGGGAGTTTCTCATTTCCAGTATCCATTCATACAATTTTCATCACTGTTTTTCTGCCTCTAACGCCTTGTTGAATATGTTTCAACCGGTATTGAGACCTGTTTTTCTCTAGCATTGGCCTTTTGAATTTAAGATTATTCATCCTGCTGACTGTAATTGCATATCCTTCTGCGATTAGACAGATGGAATGATCTACTGTATCAATTTTAAGTAAAATAGCTGCAAATCTGCTGATGCACATTTTGGCAGTTTTAACCACAGTGTGCTTGCATCGAGATGTTTGGAATCACTATTTGTATACATGCTTTGTGTATCGAAAACTAGGTTCCAGCTTGTGGACGGATTCCGAAATATTTCTTGTTGATTGTAACTCACGGACGATTTGTAATGTGGCACCATACTCTATAGGTTTATACCCTCAGTCAATAGTTAATCAAGTGTCAGCAAAGAACAGGGTGATAAGGCGGTTCACCTGAACCAACATTATGATCTTGTTCTGTTAATCATCAAGTAAGATTTGTATTAAATTTCAACCATGTACGGTATTGTCCAAGTGCATAGCGAACATACACTGACAGTTTTGAAATACGTGACAATATACTGATAACCCTGTACCCAAACATCCCCAGCATCCCGTCACCGCCTCCCACCCACGTCATCAATACCCCTCCTGTCCGATATCCACATTCAAGGTCACTGTTGCTGCTGTGTTGGTCTACTCGGTGGACAAATATGCTCTTCCCACACATTCAAACAACATCGGTAAACTCCGGAAATATGGCTGTTAGTCGGCAATAGTTTCAAGCCAGTTCCGACATGCCGATTGCTTGATCATAATATCGTGCAGTGATAACTCGCTCCCAGTATGTTACACAACTATTTCACATAACAGAGAAAATGGAGTTTGTTGATTTTAGCACATTAAGCAGTACCAGGCAATGATTCTTGACATCCAAACACAGTGGACAGGGTCACCTTAGTCCAGTAGTTAGTGGTACAGCTACATTTCCTATGACCCGCTAACCGTAGGTTCGAATCCCAGATTTGTCAATGTATGATCATTAATGTGCCAACGCCGTACCTTCACCCCTGGGTTTCACATCTCACACGAAGACGACACGTTTCTACAACTGAAATGAACCAATAACCTACTCCAATCTGAGATCAGTTTATAGTTTGGTTAAAGTCGGCAACAGAACCCAGTCAAGAGGCATAGGAAGCTTGATCTTGATACACTCGGATATGGTTGTATCATGACTGAAGCAATGTATATTTGACAGCAAGGGATCCATGTTCCCTGAATTATGATTATGTTGTCGTAATAGGAGAAATAATGGATCAGGCTGAATCGTTGCTCATGATATCAATCCCTAGATTGTATGGTCCAGACTGAAAAATTGACATGGCGCCGTAAGGTTTCAATGCTTTCCAAAATTTCAGATTCTCCGAAAATACCTATAACTTGGCATTTCTAATGGCATATCAACTTACCGTGTATGTATTGAGTGCAGTGTAAGATTAATAGAAATGTGATGTTTTTATCATTATTTCCAAGGGACATTTCGAAATTGGTTCTTTTATTTGCAGAAATTCCAGCACCAGTTGACGTCGAAGCACCCTCAGTTCTACAGCACCACCCGACTGGGTCGGAACCTGAAGGACCGGTGCACCAAGACAGACACGGAGAGGGAGGTGCTCCAGGGGATGCTGGATGAGCTGAAGAATAGATGGAACTCGGTCCGATCGGTGGTATCAAAAAGGTAGGAGCCCTTTACCCTGTCACATGGTAACTGTGTAGAATATAACAGTACATATTACTACATTAAGTGTTCCGGCTGCACGTCTGAGTGAGTGAGTGAATGTTGTTTTATGTAGGTAGGAGAACGCATCATTCTGGCACCTCGTGAACCGAACTCTTGTCCTAAAATAACAGTGGGTAACAGCTTACAATGTTCAGATCTGCTATCAGAGTGAGTGAAGGTATGTTTTATGTCATGCTTGACAATCTATACGCAGCTTTATCGCATCGGTTTGTGAATACATTGAGTGCTAGCCAGGCACCCATTGCCACCCAACTGGCTGACAGCATCGGGACAGACACAAAATTAGCCCAGTCACCATGCATACTATCAGATGTTCATCCCAATATCCGAGACACAATGTGTGATGCTTATGCAAGGGAAATAACTCCACCTCAACCAACCCAGCCAACCACGAGATACAACCTTTGCATGTTAAACAATATTCAACTTTTATGACAGCGGTTCATAAATATGTTGTGTGAGACAATCAAGTCATTGACAGCATGACAGCATGAGCCAACCATGAGATACAATCTTTGCATGTTAAACAATATTCCACTTTTATGACAGCTGTTCATACAAATGTTGTGTGAGACAATCAAGTTATTGACAGCATGACCATCTACCAGTTGGGACTCCATGACAAGAATCAACCATGTCAGCAGTCTGACCACCTAATGGCATTAGTCGCCTATTACGACAAGCATGGTTTGCTGAAGAGCAATTCAGGCCCTGATTTCTCGAAACAAACTTAAGTTTTTACTCAGATTTCAAACTGAGTTTGACTATTTGAAACAGCTGAATTTTAACTCAGCAGCATTTTTAAAATAAAAAAAGCCCAAACAACTTCAGTATTCTATTCACCAAACTCAAATTATCTACTATGTATGAATTTAATATCGATTTGAGTTCATTCTTGGAAATGCGTTTTCTCAAATTTGAGTAAAAACTCTAACTTAAGTCAAAACTCAGACTTAAGTTTGTTTCGAGAAATCGGGGCCAAATCTCGTGGTACTGTTTTTGCAATTGGTGCCACAAATGGTTCAAGCCCCACTACGGTGTCATTCAAATGGTGCTATGGGTGGAGCATGAAATGATGGCGCGCGGACACCTGGTGTCGTGATTGATTTCAGTTATCCATTCAGTTCAATTTGTTTTTAACATCCACTGTCAAATTAAAGACACTGGTTATCATTGCCACAACACTCGAGATTTGTTGAGGTCATTGGATAAACATCTAGCGAATGTAAGTTATCTGTGGGTTAAGATTGTGTATTACGTCACCGATTGTAATACAGATAAATTAAAGCTGGTTATCCACAGTGTCACATTGACGTTGGAGTAATTACTATTCCACATTCACATTTAACTGCACTGTGACGCCAAGTAACCTCCCCACCTGCCTGATTATCTCCCTTGGTCTAGATGTCCACTGCAGGTAACAGCGATGGCAATTAAATATACGTGTTGAATTTTGTCCGTTTCGACATTTAAATTTGAAAATATAATTTATCTGATATAAAATATGAATATTATATAATATAGAATTTATTCAGACATTCTTTTTTTAACAGCCAAACTTCTTCTGTTTTAATGAGAGCCGATAAATCTGCATGTCGTTATTGTCAGTTTGCTCATGGTCAGTGTGTTGTCGGACAGTGGTCAGAGAAAAGGTCAATTAAACACGGTCAAGGACAGGCAGTACATCCTCTCTCTCAAGAAATACTTTATTGATTCGTCCTCACCGTAAAAATTCTTCGGACACATTCAGAATCCAAGAATTTCTAACTACCGAAACTAGTACATTCTCGTACATCATACTTCTCTTATCATTTCTACTATTTGTTTTACAGTTTTTCATAATTATTCATATTCGAGATAAATGATAATTTCGAACACGAACTTGTACTTTTGACGGGGTAATGATTCTACCACTGTTACCGTGCAGCAGAACGGTGTTGTGGACGTGACGACGCTGTATTTAAAATGCCATTATATAAAAAAACACATGTATTTATAGTTTAAGTTTTATGTGGCGCAGGTTAAATATAGACAGTTAATCGTTTGAAAAAAACAGGATTTTACTTTTTCGTTTTAGTTGAAAAAACGTTATTTTCGCTCTTTTCGTCGGTTGAAACGTTATTCAAAGTTGTCTATCGGGATTCTGTTTTGACAAAATAGAGCACAAATATCTGAAGTGTTGAGTGTTGGTTTTTAGTGCCCTCCATCTTAAGCGGGATGTACATAGCCACAGCTGTGCATATATACCTATTGGCAGAGTTTGGTCCATGGAAAAGGACTGTCGTAACAGTTCCCATTCATCCTGTTACATAACATAAACGTGACCTATAACCTTCTAGCATATGTACATTTCCTACAGTAAAATCTACAATTCGTGTGACACCAACACCTTCAATATTCATTAGTTCTGCCAAAGACGGTGTCCCAGTCACGTTGCCGGTCCATTTAGTTTAACTGCATACACATGACGTCATTTGATTGACAGGTTGTCAAGATTATGTCATAAGTGAGTGACATTACTAATGAGCTGCCTGGAGCTTTGTTAGCCTCTTCCGATAACAGGGATCTAGCTCGACAAAGACTGCGTGTTGAAGACATTTTGGTTTGGTGAATAGACTGTTTGTAGGAAGGGTTATGTTGTAACTCGTGTTGAGATGTAGGTGTTAATCTTCAAGTCACACCGTTGCTATGATACCTGCCTTCCTTAAACACCGTCGTGGTCTACTGGACAAAGCTTAAGGACAAAACTTAGGGATGTTACTGGACAAAGCGTGTGCTCGGAGAGGGTGAGGCCTAGGTTTCGATCTGGCCCCATCAAACCATTCACGTTGAAATGGTACTTTTTGTTACCCTGCCTTGGACTCGACGTCAAGGGGATAAAAGAAGTACCGACCAAGTAGGAGTAAGTATTGTAATTGTGAAGGATGAAACCCTGTGAAAGCTGCAGTGTATCTCAGTATTCTATCACAATAAAACCGTGGCTACAATGCGCGAAGACCATTTCTGGTGTTCCCGCGGTGCCATTGCTGGAATATTGCTATAAGCGGCGTAAAACCATAATGACTCACTCACTCCCAATAAAACCGGTATAAAGACGAGTACAAGCACGAGCATGCACACGTGAGAGCAATAATCTTGAACGCACCGCTAAAGTCCGCGTTTCTGTAGTTCTCTGAGTACTGTAACTGTTAACACAATATTCATAGAAACTGATGTATGAACGTGGCGAGTCGTGAAGCGTCAATATATAAGCAAGTGTGCTGTGTATAGTATTACACAATCATTATACGTGGCAGTGCGGAGGATAGACATAATGGAGATGTACCTTGACTAAAGTACAAGACATCACCAGATTAGCTTGAAGCAATAACCTTTGTCCCTCTCATTGTCAATGATATCATTGGCCCAGCTGCGATGATGAACTAACCACATCTATACACCGTATACTTGCTTCTCGAAATGCCTTTGTGTTAAATATATGATAAAAGCAATTACATTTAATATCTGTTTTAAATTAAATTCCAATCATCAGTGTGGCTGCCATAGTATTCCATATTTTCTGGGTATTTTCGATCTAACGTGGAGTGAGTGAGTTTAGTTTTACGCCGCACTTAGCAATGTTGCTGCTGTATAGTGGCGGTCTGTAACGAATCGAGTCTGGACCAGACAATCCAGTGATCAACAGCATGAACATCGATCTACGCAATTGGGATACGATGACATGTGTCAACCCAGTCAGCGAGCCTGACCACTCGACTCCGATAGTCGCCTCTTACGACAAGCGTGGGCTGCTGAAGGTCAATTCTAACTCGGATCTTCTCGGGTTAGATACATTTATGCCAAATTAAAAACCTCGTGGCTGAGAATACATTGAGGTCATTTAGATACATTCATTCATGAGAAGTTAGGCATGCTTATCCGTTTCACAACCACCTGGTGGAATCACAGATTAGTGATATTATCATATAAATTTGACCGCTGTTTTGCAATTTCTTCCAAATAGAATGAGTATTCGTTGATAATCGAGACTGGTTGCTTTCAGGTATTTAACTTTTAAAACAATTACAAGGTAACCTTTTTACACGAAGGTAGCTGCCACTTGAGATATAAAAGAGAAAAATAAAATCGTGATAAATATATGAATAATCAGTGAACTACGCTTAGATCGAACAGACGGATATAACGAAGTGTTTTCTTTTGTCTTGCCACTTGCTGTATATATCAGTCGAAATGCCTATGACGAACTTCGTTTATAACGAACTAAAATCAGTGGTCCTTTTGAATTTTTTATAACCATACTTTACTATAATGTGCATTTTATGTGCCATATTTCATACCGGAATTGCCTTTATCAAAACAATACCTTCAACGTTGTAGGTTCCTCAGCACTAAAGGGGCGCTTAAGTAGCGTTGTGGTCAAAGCGTTCGTCAAGTCAAAGGTCTGTGTTCGATCCCCGCCCAGGTACAAATTTCGGACCCATTTCTGATATTTTCCGCCGTGATACTGCTTGAATATTGCTAAAAGCAGTGAAAACCTCACACACTGTCAGTACGAAACCCTACAATCTATTAGGTATGCAACGATTCTTCCTATCCAGTATACTGGGAGTTACATGTTTACACAAGCTATCTGCCTATCTGAAACCTACTTACTATAAATCTCCGGTATTAACTCTAACGTCCTGGCTTTACCAGACTCTAATTATCTGTGAACGGACCTTCTAAGAGGCCCCTGCCCCATAAAGGACTGCCAAACACTATTTTGTAGTTGTCTGGGAAGTCGTGTAAGGTGTGGACAAATTTGAACGTTTCGGCTCTGTTTATTACAGCTGCTTGCTCAGTGTTCCAGTTGTTGTGTTTGTTGTTTGTTGGGTGTATATTTACCTCTAGGAAGATAATGCTGAAACTTCTCTCCCAAGATAAAAAATATGCATTGC